TCGCTATGTCTAACGGAACATTTGTGAACAGTGATACTACATCTAACGACACCAACGAAAAATTATCTTCAATTCTTATATTCTTTAATTCTTCGATTAGATGAAAGCTATTCATAATGTAACTGTTAGCTGTAGGTAAAGATTCAGAGAGAATGTTCTGTAAGAAATTGGCAAGAGGATATAACGGGCTACCAATGGAAGATATTATTATTCTTAATGGATAACCTTGTTTGTGTATCTTTGGCACACCATAGGCACAAGGCAACTTCCCATCGCTGCAATATAGGAATCTGTATTTTTTGTTATCAATATATTCTTTATTCTTCCATCTGGTGAGCAACGTACGTACCGCTGTTGTAAGTTTGCGAACTGGATCCTTCTTTATTAATATGTATGTGTCTATATCATTGAGCATTGTTTTCATTTTGTTAATATAAGTTTCTCTAGACATGGCCACGGTAGCATTGCCTTTATCTGCGCGAGTATAAATAATGTCCGGATGAGAAGAAATGAAATTGATGGTATTTTTCTCCATGGTTGTCAATCTTTTGTCATAAGGTATAATCAAGGCTGAGGGTGCAGACACAATACCATTTAAGATGGGTATTGTGTTATTAATAACATTTGTTTTTTTGACAATCGGCATCTTTCTCGTGCTATGTTCGACACTTTTTATACATTCCGATATAATTTTATTTTTGTTGTTGCAGGGTAAGGCGAAACCTTCTCCTAATTGTAAAAAACATTGTACATCATGTGGAATCTTAATTGACGTTAGATTTATAAACCATTTGTCTTTGGTAGAATTAAGTGAAGAAGATACTGATCTATTAAAAGATTCAGGAGAAATTTGGATGTTATGGAACTGTAATTTTTTATTTTCTTCAAAGTTCTGCAATTCTGTTCTGTTAGCTGTTTGTGAATGGTTAATATTAATACAATAATCGTGTGTTTTTGTGTATTCCTGTGGGTTATTGTTTTTAATGAATTCTGACTTATTTATATTATATCTAATTTCTTGAAT